TGTGTACTGATCCATACACAGTGTGTATTGATCCATACACAGTGTGTACTGATCCATACACAGTGTGTATTGATCCATACACAGTGTGTACTGATCCATACACAGTGTGTATTGAACTGTTCCATACAGATGCATGTATTGTTGCACCTCGAGTTTAAAGGGGTACGAGTGCCGACCGGARCAGGAAGTGACCCTCAAAGTCAATTTGCTGCAGGTGGATTAATAATCCTGCAGATAAAACTCAAACTGATCAGGTTTTTCYTGAGTCCTGAGTGGTTTCTGTGCCAGCAGGGGGCAGTAGACGACTCGAGATGTGCCTKGATGATGTGATGACTGCAGGTCTTGTGAGGAGGGCAGGACCAGGGAGGCATGAAGAACAGTTAAACAGTGACAGGATAAAGAGGGCTAAAAATAAACTGAACTCTCCCTGAGCTTCAGCCCACCAAGGCAAGATAAAAATTTAAAAAAAGAATGTTGAACGTCGCTGACGTCGTTAAAAGCGTATGTGAGAAAGTTTTGGCGCTGGTTTCAGATGTAAAAGTCGTGCCTCTGATGGTTAAACGTTAACTAAAAGCTGTTCTTCCACACCTGTCTGCTGTTCCAGACGAGTGACTAATTCCTATTAGAGATAAAAASTCTCTGAGGTGAACACAGAGGTTATCGCCTGCGTGCTTTTCTCATCGACGTCAGCTCAGATTWAAAAAAAAACTGTGGGAAAACAGATACAGGTAAAGACGTTAACTCACTTGGAAGCAGAAACTGGAATGGGAAGCTGTGTTCACCTGGTGGGAGGATTCCTGTAAGAAATAAAACTCGGTTATAAGGRGGGTTTATGGTTCCAGTCTGAGCTGGTTTCAGTACCAGACGGCGGTGGTTTTCCTTTCAGCACTCGTCAACAGATAAACATCATTTTGAAGAGAAGTCTTCACTTGTGACTTGGTTACACCGGTTAGTGTTGAACATCAATAACACGTCAGAGCGTTAAAAAAAGATCATCTCACGCCGACGATCAACAGATTTATATCTGTTTTGTCAAACAGATGATGTACGATTAAAGCTAGTTTACTGTAAATATATTAAGTTGTTTGTATCGAAAAACTGTTCAAACAACGGATCTGATGTTAGTTTTGTTTCAAAGTTTGAGTCTAAAACACTTTTATTTGTATTTATTTTAGAGGAAAACAAGTTTTTTCTGATCTCTGCTTCCTTTTATTTTATTGATTATTTTTATTT